AGATGAACAGTGATCAGCCATCCAAAATTGCCATTTTGACAAAATAAATGGCCGATCGGCAACAAAGAATGCCGACCGGCAATATATATTGCCGATGGCATAAAATCACTAGCTGGTGGCCTCGAGCCATGGCCGGTGATGTGTGGGGATGCCTCACAAGGCATTCCCTGCCCCTCCAAGGCAAAACACAAGTGTTTGGTGCAAAACCAGACACAAAACAGTCGAGTCGAGAGATCCTGAGGCAAGGTGCGCAACCGAGACCTCCGGGAACTCAAGACGAACACAATCACGGATGATCACCGAGTGTTCCAACGGTGACGTCCAAGTCTTGAGGCCGGTCAAAAATGGGGTGTCTACAGTTGCCCCTCTTTGACAGAACTCGGAAGTCATAAGAATGACAGGAGTGAATGTCAAAGCCCAGAGACAAACCATTTTTGACAAGGCCGAACACTTAGACAAACATGCAAGACAAGCAAGATATGCGCCCGAAGGCAGGGGCAAAATGCAAGACAATGCACAAAGCAGAACATAACTTATGATCATGCAAAGAAAGCTGTAACGAAGCATAACATGCGACAGCTTTAAGCTAGAATACACCAAACTACACTACTATGCAGAAAGGATGTAAGAGTTTTGTGGTTTTTATGGGGAATAAACCGATGACGGAGGCGGACTCCATTGTCAACGACCCAGGTGTAGCGGTCGAGTTCGCTCGACAGATTTTTCCACCGGAAGTCTAGCAGTCGATGGTTGGTCGACAGGATTTTGAAGTATTTCGAGAAGGCATCCACGGGGTGGTGAAAGGGCTGTATACCGCTTATGAAATCGGCATGCACCTGCGCGCTGCGCGGCGAGAAATAGAGAAAAAGAACTAATGAATTTGGAACTTAGAGGCTCAAGTGGAAAGGTCGAGTGTGAGCTTAAGGAACTTAGGAAGGCTCAAACCACCGAGCCGCGTGCGGTAGGTCAATCTAACCCGGTCGTGGAGGAGAGAGTGACCCAACGGCTGTTAAGTAACGCGATAGTCGATCGGGATACGGCAAGCATGTTTGCCATGGAAAATGCAAGGGCCGTGGGTTATGAAAAAGGCTTCCACGACGGCTGAAGAGTCGGGATAGAGAAGACCAAGGAGAAACTCACAGAGGAGGTGTGCCATTGCGAGAATCAAGGCTTTAGGCATGGGTGGATTAAGGCTCTCCAAGCCTCAGAGGCACTCCAAGGAGCAGGAGTCGAATCGGCGTCGCCATTATATCATCGTCACGACTTTCCTTTTGACGCTTTCGAAATTGAGAAGAGCGATGATGAGGGCGATGCCAAATAGAACTAAACATATATCGTAAACGTTCCGACACAAATTGGGCGTCAACTATGTATCTATTGGATAATTTAATAAAATATTTTATTTTAAATGTTTGTGTTTGATTTTGAATGTTTACATGCCTGATTGGGCTTCTCGTTTCGAATGTTTGCATATTTTATTTTGTTTATGCAGTTGTGTGAAGCCCCTGAAATATGTATTCGCTTTAGAGACCCTAATATTTGAATTATTTTCGTAAAGCCTCTCGGTTATTTGAATTATTTCAGATATTGTCGGTTAGAATTTTATTTTATTTTTTTTTCTAGCAAAATAGGAATTTTTCTAGCCAGATTAGGTTCCCTAACCTAATTTAATTTAATTTAATTCTACAAGAGTAAGGTCCCAATACATGTATTTAACTCCAAGCCCTCACTCTTTATTTAAATTGAAAACTTACCCAAAAAAAAACTAGTACTTGTACCTTTGTACCATGAGTACCATCAATCTTGTAAGATATATATATATATATATATACCTTGAGGAGTGTGCCCTAGGACCTAAATTAATAAAAAAGTGGCCCCTTCACCCTCCCTATGGCCGACCATTCCAGGAGGATGTGAGGAGACAATTTCAAAATGTATCATCATGAAAATCTAGAAACTCACAACCTAATACCCTAGACCTAGGATGCTAATCTCAATACTAGTTCCATTTTAACCAAGTATTGACCTAATCCTTGAGTAAGCCTCCCAAATCATCCCTATTTCCTTTAAAATTTCAGACAAATCCTAATATTTCCATCCATTTCCAACTAATGGGCTTTCAGGACATTTTACATAAAAAATTGTCTATATATACCAACACCCCCTAGCTTGCCAAGCACAAATAACACACTCACACACACTTTCATCTAGAGAGAGGGAGGAGAGCAAGAGAGAGAAGTCTAGAGAAGAAGAGGGAGGAAGAAGAGAGCCTTCTTGTGCAAAGCTTAGTAGGTAAGCCACAAACACAACCTTCTCTTTTATTTTTCTTTTTTCAAAACATGTTCTAAGGGTTCTAAATAATGTTTTCAGATATGTTATTAATGAGGTCTTATGTTAAAAATGCTAAGGGTTGAGTATTGATTCCATCTCTCTGGTGTTTTCTCCATTTTGGCACAAAACCATCTTTTTCTATACTAATCTCTCAACTTTCCAAGGGCACTCCTTCACGTAAATTTTTTGAGTCAAATATATGTTAGTTATCATGTTTTCTTCAGAAAAGAAACGAAAACTTTCCCTTGGTGGAACCCTTTTTCTCATAAAACTTCTTATTTTGGGCATGGTACCTTAGAATCTGTTTTTGCAGCCCACTTCCAGAAATTCTAGAAAAATGTATAAAATTATTCTGGACCTCTATTTTATGTCAAAACCTTCCTTAGGGTGTTAGCTTTCAATTCAAATTGGTTTCATCGAAAAACATTAAGCGGTTTGCAAGAAAATCAAATTTTCGTAACGGTCGACGGATCTGGACAGAATCTGGACAGGGCTGAAATATTTTCTAAATAACTTAGAATCTGGAAAAGCAATCCCATTTCCGAAAAATGTTCTAGAAACTAGATCAAATTCCCTATGAACCATAGGAAGTCCAAGTCCGGTGAAGGATCTAAAATAGTCCTTTCATTTTAATCTCTAAGTGATATTAAATCTGGAAATTTTGTTATGAATGGATGTTTTATGCCATTGTATTGATGAAAATGTTTATTAGCTTATGATCATAACTTGGCATGATATTGGATGTGTTATGTTATGTTCTTCATCTTCTTCACCTTATTGATGCATGCTTGTGTGGACATTTTTATCTTGTTAAGTTGTCTAACCTTGATGTAAAATATTTAACTCAATGGGAAAGCTAATTGGGAGGTGTAACAAGTCCGCGAGGGACCCCGCTACAGTTCGGACTCGATTTTTGTTTGCGGTTCTTAATCTGAACCAAAGAGTCCAAATCCGGCAAATCGTTTTGAGAAACAGATTTTTTTGAAAAGAAGTGCCAAACATGGACTGCTTTGCCAGATACAGAGTCGCCACCTAAATATTTTTTAATGGGGAAATTTAGGAAACCCTGACTCGGTGCCGAAGGCCACATGTCCGTCATCACCAGAGTTGTCTCGGCTCGGGAGCTTGGGTACGATCGGGGAAGGTCAGCTATGAGAACCCCCTTTCGCCCGGTCCGAAGACCCGCCTCTACTAACCATGATATCCGATTTTGAAAACGTTACGTGTTCTTATTCCATTTATTAGCCTAGAATTACTATGTTATGCGCGCAGCAAACAAGTATAGACTAGATTGCCTAATTTGGAAACAAGCATTGCATATCCGTTTGTTTTGAAAAGCGCTTTGGAAATTGCTACTCGCAAGTAGGCTAAAATACGGATTTCAACGAGTTTTTCCAACTCAAACAATCCAACCTTCACCCACAGGCATTCAAACAGTAATATCACGTAAGCATTTAGCCGCATGGCAAACATACTGTCATGGCAACATTCACACGCATGCGAGATGCTAAAGCATAAATACTTACATAGTACTCCGAGCTAAAAACAAGAACATGTTAGCAATCAATGCGTGATCTAAGTCCATGTTAAATGCCTAATGCATCGCATACAAAATGTCACTAGAGTAGGCTCGGCTAATCTATGAATGACATATGAAAATGCACAACTAACATGTATTTAGTTTGGAATTTGAAATACAGATCCAGTTAGTGTGATGTACTGAGCCCGGTGCATGCGAGACAAATGTATGGATGCACGCATGCATAGCATAAGGTATGCTAATTTAAACATGCCCTAATCTACCATCATAAGCAGGTAAATAAAAGGGAAGAAAGAAGTGAGGGTTGGAAGACATTCACACACTCACCCACACTTATTACAGATTTGCCCTCACTCGGAGGGACCAAATAAATAATAAAAATTAATTACCTACGCAAGCTAATTAAGTATTACAAATTGCCTAATTAATAAATAAATTAATTAAGCTAGGAAAAGCAGATAAACCGCCCTGGGGGAAGAGCCAGATGCAATGCACGCTCGGTCCTGTTCGGAAATGCACCGCCATGCATAGGTTGCCTCTGTTTTCCTTGCTTTACTCGTCTGGAGGCTGTCAAAACCTCAGGACTGCTTCTTTGGACAATGAGGAGTGCCACCGGCTGAATAGGATTGCCACCGGCAGTGTCATGTGGCCACCGGCACAAAATGAATCCATCGGCTGCTGATTCACTGCCGGTCGGCAATATATACTGCCGGTCGGCAAAGAAGGCCTGCAGAACCTGCAACTCACAGCAACAGAGGGCAAGGCAAAGCATGGCAGCACAATTCAAGGCATATATGCACCAATCATGTCCCTTATCATGTTAATGACTCAAAGGGACATGCTCCTTGGTTCTCGGACCATCAATCGCGCATTTCCATGCGTGATGGCCCAAAGGACCAAGTGTGCACATTTTGATGTCAAATGCAATGCAAACCAAACCAACAAACAAATGGGTACTTAACCTCTATCATGGATAGTCAAGAGGCCAAGCATGCATGCCAATGCAATGCAACCTAAGCATGTTAACTAGGCATGCAATACGGCAATGCAAATGAGCATGCAAGAAATGCAAGGCATAGAGCAATGCTACAGACATGTTGTCTTCTGTGCTCACCATAGAAGGAAAATAGTAAGCTTCATCGTGGGGCACCTTATGATTATATAGTAAGACAATGTTAATAATAATTTGAAGCATTAACATAAAACCCAACAAGAAGCAAAGTACAATATTTTAAGTCCATTCAACACATACCGGAACATACATACTATCTTGTGTGCCAACCATAGAAGGAAAATAGTAAGCTTGATCTTCCGGCACCTATCATGAAATAGTAACACAATTTCATTACTAATTGTAACCATTCAACTATGAATCCACAAAAAAGGTTACGAAACAACCTATGCCAAGTATTTACCTGTGCGGGAGTAGTCTTCTTGTTCTTTCTCTTCAACCGATTAACTATTTGATCAACCTTGCTAACCTTCCGCCTCGTACATGGACGCCCTCTTCGGCGAGCAACCAAAGGACTGAGTACCTTGCGAGTGTTGCTTGCTTTTGTAGTATTCAGACGTGGCGGACTTTTCGGCGAAGTATGAGAAGGTGGTACAATACCTGTAGAAGGTGGTACAGTACTAGTACATGGCACATTACTCGCAGTAGCTGATTCAATAGTTTTCACTCGATCCATGATTTCCCTCAACCCAAGTTGAATCACTTTGTGTTTGGCATCGTCATTGGTGGCAAGTTCTAGGATCTCATCTAACGTCTTGTGATATGAATCATACAACTTTGGATTTATAGCAGCCCCGAAGTTAGTATATGTGGTTGGAATGCATGTATACCCTCGTTCCAAATCTTTTCTCCATCTCGAGACAACGTATTTATGTGGCACCTCATATATGGACCTCTCAATGAGCACACTAAGTGAATGGGCACACATAATGCCTCTAAACTCAAACAACCGACACATACATTGGAGCTCACATTCTGTTGAATTACAATACACGATAAATTCTACTTTCTTCATACCCTCACCCAAAAGAATAGCCTCCCTCACATGATACGTACAAATTGATCCCTCCTCTTTTGCAAGATTCGGACGACAGTACACTAAACACTTCATTTCTGCTTGAACTTCTTTAAATTTCGCATTTGTGTACGCTGCACGAAATTGCTTCTCAAAATGATACACCGTTAGGCAATCATACAATTGGTTACGAGATTTGAAATCTGCTTTTGTCTCCTTTTCCACCTTACTTCTCAAGGCATTGTCATATTGCTCAAAAAATTGCTTTAAGGTAGTCTTCGAGTTCACATATCCATCAAAAAATGCATTCATGCTCTCACTTCTACCGGTAGTTGACATGCCAGCCCAAAATATGTCTTTAACATAGGCAGGAATCCACCTATGTCGCTCA